TATGTATATACGCATTTATATATATTCATTTTTTTAAAGTTTATAATATTAATACATTATTGTATCGCTGTTACTTCGATACATTATTCTTAAAATTGTTCAAACTAAAATATTGCTGATTTCTGATTTACTAATTAGTTTGTAAGTTAAAAAAATAAATCGAATGTGATTATGTAGTATTGTATAATTTGAATTTCATTACTCCTAACCTATATACTACACACATATTCATGGGGCATATGAAATTTAAATCAAATTTCGATTAAATTAATGGATTTGAATAGTATACCTGATACTATTATACATGATGACTATAGTTTAGTGACCTTTATGATGTGGTAATATTTTGGTGAAGTACGCTAGCCACTGGTTCACCCAGACCCTCCTCCCCTTTCCCCCACATTAATTTTTCAACTACGTCATATCAGGACAAGAAAATATATACACATGGAAAGAAAACGTATTATTCGAAAATTGAACAATAATATAAGACACGTAATTACAAAAACGATACCGATAAATAATGATATTATGAATCGTAGTAATAATATTTGTAATCGCTAGTATTTCAGAGAACAGGTGAATTCGAAAGTTGAGAATCAATGCACGGAACCCGTTTATTATTGTAAAACAGTGATCGTATTGTAACGCAAAAATAGCCGAGAAACGAGAGAAATATACAAGTTAAGTTGACATTTTATTTCACATGTCTGACGACCGTTAAGACTTTAGAAATAAACGGCTTACAACGTTTTGTATCGTAAAAAACATAAAATTTTGAATCAAATTGCAAATGATCAAACGTCGTGGTGACGTAAAAATGAACTATCTAGGGAATTTATGATTGGATTTTATTGTTATTTTCATAATAATTCTCGTTCATTAAAAAACGGAATACTCGTAAAAAAAAAAAATACGTACTCTCGAAAATATAAAAGAATTTTTTCACTAATGAAAGGCTGCTGTTTAGAGAATTTTTATGATCAATTTTAAAAGCACATTTTTTCGTTCTTAACCGCCATAACAATAATAATAGTAACAGCACAGAAATATGTATAATATTATGTAATAAATGTTTATGTTTTTTTTTTATATAGAGCTAAGACGACACTGTTCGTAATGTTATTAAAAAAAAAAAAGAAACATGAGTTGCGTTATGTACGACAACAATGTGGGACTTAAAGTGTTGTAAGGTAATCTCGGAAAAAAATCCGGCAATGTAGCACATTTTAGCGGGAAAATGTATTTCATCCTGGCGCGTTGTCTGCTGACTTCGACTAAACTGTTATATAATAATATAATAATACATAAAGAGTTGAATAAATCAAAAACGACGTACAATGAATTTACATATCGAGTTCTGCCGGTGACAATAGCATAAAAAAAAGGCATAGTGAGTGTAGCGAACTCACACCAATCGGATGTCTTCAGCGTTTTTATTTATACGGATCGCACTATATAGACGATTGATTTTTTAAGAGGCCCAGCGACTAACATCGATTCCAAGTAACACTTTATGGACTACTAAATGTGTCGTTGTGTTACTCGTAAACGGTCTAATAGTGTGGAACGTCAGTGGCACAATAACCTAGGAGGGCGGCACCGCCTCATCGCCGTTCGACAATACAAATAAGTGCTTTGTCTATCAAAAATTGAAAAATGAAAAATAATTTTTACGTCATGATAACAGAAAAAATAAAAATGAGTGTGAACGAAATAAGTAAGTATAATCCTCGATTGTACCTCCCCCATAAATAATAAAAAGGCACTGGCAGGTTGAGCCGCTGCAGGGATAAACCTACGGGAGACTTTACCGCACATGTGGACAATATCAGCTATTCTGTGACCTCTAAAAAATGTTCTATTTTTAGCCGACTAGCATGATTGTGTTCCAATTATTTATTATTCCTTCTCCAATGATTCCCATGCTGGAGAAAATATTAGAATTCTTTAAGGGATATTTTATGCACTGAAACGACAGGAAAACATTTTTGAAAGTATTTTTAGTTGGTTAAATACTTTGCCTTAAAATGTTCTTAAATCATTATTCATATTTAAAGGCAAAAAAAAAATAATTTGCTCGGTCACTCACTCCACATTCGCACTGAGCGAGTTTAAATGAATTGTTTTTCTGTACCCAAATCGGAGGGGCGTTTGTACAATTTATACGTAAGGTTGGAACATTAAAACGAGCAGTTTTTGACTAAAAATATGAGTTGGGGGCTCGTCGATTTTCACAGTCGACCTGCGCATGCGTACGGCACTGGCACACTTTTCAAGCCGGAAAGAAGTCGGCATAATATGATAGAGAATTTTTTTTTTATAATATTGCGATCGCGACATTTGCGGAATAATAAATATTACGAAAATGCAACGAGCTCTGAAAAATCTCGAAATGTTCATGGCGCACTTTCATGATGCAGTCGTGTGATGTGTGCAACGCGGTGTGTACACAAATAGCCGGCTTTTAGAATTCAAAGATAAAATCCTTCGCAGAACTGCTCGTCCTCAGTGGAATTGCGGGGGAACAACAAATGGATAAGTGAACACCACGAGCAACGATCAATGGTAGGCGCAATTATTATGACGTGTGTGTGACGTCAAACGGAGCATTAATATAACTATTTTATCGTGCCGAATTTTTGAAAATCTCGAGAAAAAAATATGTGTGTAATTGACGTAAAAATATTTTTCGTTCAATAAAACAGCATATGATTGTGCACGAGCCGTGTAAAATGTATACGAAAAAAAATAAAATTAAAAAATGTTAAAGAAACAATAAGACGCGTAATGTATTCCTTCGCGAGTATTTATACAAAACAAAGTCTTTGTTTTTGGCAAATAGTAAATTGTTATTAAAAAAAAAAAAAAATTGTGATTCGCAAAACTCAAATAAAATATTATGACCTATTAACGACGACATACTATGACGGCTCAAATAAGCTATCGGAAGACACAGCAGTATACCTACTAAATACCGAATTACCGAAGGACGACCACAAGACATAATAATTTAGTCGAATAATTTACCATAAATGTTTACAACCTAACACAGCAATTATTATAGCAATATGGCAATGTTGATAACCGTTCTAATCCATATTCATAATTAATACCAATCTAAAATGTATACCCGTCCGTCGTTATATTAATTGTGATGGGTTATCATCATAGGCGAAACCACAAAACGTTATAATGGGACAGGCTGAATGATAAATATGAAAAAAAATGTCTAATATTACAAACCAAGTTTTTTAATTCAACTTTAAATAATTGTATCAAGTCAGTATTAATTCAGGCCATGACCTAACTTGTTGTTTTGCCTTTGTTGGGCGATACGAGTATAAATAGTGTCGAGACTATCTAGATAAATCATTTGTTATCTTTTATCTTATCTAGATAAATAGTTTTCAAGTTACCCAATTAATTTTTCAAGATACAAAATTCACAATTCACCTATCTAGATATGTTTATCTTGATGAGTTCATCTGTATAAATAATGATATTTTTATATTATAGATAATTCATATTATACTTAAATTGTAATAATAATATTTAACATCAAACAAATGGTTTTTTTTTTTTTTAAATATTGAATCATTGTAACTTCTAAGAATTTAATGTTTAATTTAAAAAAATGTGTTATTGATTTATACTACTCTGTATTAATAATGATGTATATTACAAAATTTCATTTAAACCTATAATCTGTGTTCAAACCATATTGAATTAATAGCAAGGTGTCCTCACAAATCGTTAGATTTATGAAAAAAAAAAATTATATTTTTCATCTAGATTACTTATCTAATCCCAACACTGGCATACGAGTGGAGAACGATCGCCAAGACGACGATAATGACGAGCTTAGTGTCGCCAGATATTTATAAACGAATTATTTATATTATTTAATTGGTATAATGTTTATGGTATAATCATTATAATGGGATAATATGGTCGTCAAGAGGCCACGAAAGGTCGACGGGATACTTTCAGTACGGCTACGAGTCGGGCTATGCAACAACTAGCGACGTAACCGAATTAAAATAATATGGTGCGAACAACCGGTTTTCGGGAAAGCATCGGCGAAATGTTCTAATAAGAAACATGAATTACATAAATATTAAGAGAGAAAAAATCGTAATAATTTATTTATACCAAACGACAAACGGATCGACCGTATTTGTATTTTATGTCATCGTCGTATTCTCCTCCTTCTCCTCCTGCTACTCAACCGGAAACAAGACTTTGTTGTCGTATTAATATTATTATGTGTATTACGTGGGTATATAATTATACAATATTATGCATCCCTCTATTTATCATTAAACTACCCATATTTTAGGTAAATGTTTATGTTTTTGAAAACATTTGTTATGTTACGTGATACTTCAAAATAATAATTACAACAACACATTTTTGAAAAATATATCAGTTGATATTTAATAAAAATATTTTTATTCTATATTCCTAAACCAAATATTTAGATTTTTTGTTAAATTAGATTTAGGTTAAAATTGTATTCAAAACCTTTAATTAGTTATGATTGTTATAGCAATTAACGTTTATATTTGTGGAGTACCCTACTCATCTGCCCAATTAACTTTTAAATAAACTATTATATTTTTAAATAGTCAACAATTAAAAACAAAATAAAATAAATTATAAGCAACGGATTTAGTTTAGTATGAAATGCAATCGTAATTCATCGTAGTCCCCTAGAAAATATTAAAAGTAGAAAAATTTACTATATAAAATAAATATTTTCAAAAACAGAAATAAATTAACTGAAAAAACTATTGTGGTGATTATTTCTATCAGATAATAATGTACCCACACAATATTATTATTATTATTATTATTATTACTATTTTAACCTATAACGAGATTCGTTGAAATTTAAAAAAAAATTTACATTCTCCCATCTTGAATTACTGGTTTTCGGGAGACAATCCGAAAAGATGCGCTGGCAGGTACCATCATCGTGGACATTATATATACAGTAAAAAGCGACAATCTTCAGAGTACAGTGCACTATTATCGTCGTCCAACAGCAGTTGTAGTTGGTACCTAACTGCAACGACTCGACAGGCGATCGAACACGGTGACGGGCCAAGTGTAACGATGGCTACCACTATGGTGAGAACTTACTATATTATTAAAATTATTATTTTGGTTGTGATATTCACCTATTCGATGATCTTAAGCTCCTCTCAACGCCAAGTTTTTCTTCCCGTAGACTCGTAAGACACACCGACTAGGCAATTGAACGGCGACGACCGAAAACTATCTCGTTTCGTTTTTTTTTTATCTAAAAAGAAACAATTTTTTTTAAAAAAAACGAAATTAGACGTATGAAATACAATTTTTTTTTCTTCACGTAATTGTTGACATTATGTTACTAGAACACAAACTAAGTACTTTTAAATACATTAATTTGAACTTAGTGGTACGCAACGCATAGGGTTGCGATTTCAATGCACTTTGTCTTGTCCTCCACAACTATAGCGATGCGATGATTGTCTTACAACAATATTGTTTATAGTTTATTTTTCAATCAGAAAATAAAGTTTTTACTTTTCATTTCATTTTTATTTTTTTAGAGCAATTTAGGGTCTTTAGGGCAATTAACACTAAACTTCAATCTGTTTTTCGAATTTTATTTTAAAATGTATACTTAAAAAAGTAATTTTGAAAGGTGCTTACAAGGTTTTCTCCCAATCTAATATTATTATTATTATTGATCGTAATTTTTCGAACAGATTAGAGTGACGATAGCAAATCAAATGAGAACAATGAATTATGTTTCAGATTAAAAGTCCACACTTCTACATTTTGACTTTAAATACAATTGTGCAGTCAATTTTTTTAAAAAACATATTTTTTGCTTCTAGACTTGTTTGAAATAATAAAATAATTTAAAAGCATTTTATAGGTGCATTATTTTAAGTTTTTAGTACACAAAAAAATGTCTTGGATTTTTTTAAGGTTATTACATTCTTGTGCAGTCTATAACATATACTACTTAAACCTATATTATTTGGTTAGTTGTGTCTAAATTATCAAAAACATTAAAATTAAACACAATAAGTCAACTTGCCAAGAAAATAATACGAGTGGTCGTTTCACAAAAGAAGTTTTTTTTCGTTAACATTTATTTTCATTTTTATTTACGATAATGGAATACTCGTAAAATATTAGCAAGAAAACTTATTATGTTTAATTTGTCTTTGATCTTACATAGCTGGTTATTAATTACTTGCTTTATTTAATTACAAATTAATTTAAATTCTATAAGTACACATAAAATTAATAATTATTATTTAATTCGTTCATAAATGGATTAAGTATCGAAATTCTAATGATTTTGAAATTATAAATTTAATATAACATTTTTTTTTTAAATTATTTTGAATTTTTTATGAAACTTATTTCAAGAATGATAACTCTGATAAGATTATTATACTGCGTTACGATTTAATTAAACTTACTAGGTTTTATTAAATCAATAAAATGACGTATTTATTCATATTATTTGGTACATTCAGCTTGCTATTTTTAATCTTAATATTTAACATAATATCTTAATATTTTTAATAAAATGTTAAAAATATTTTCAATTGTTTAATCAAATAATATTGAAATGACGAAGAATACATCAAAAGTATAAGTTTATTTTTAAAAGATATTCGATTGTACAATTTAATTAAAATTATTAAAGTACCATATTATTATGTAAAACAAGCCAATGGTCACGTCATCAAGGCTTTCTTCTTTAATAAAAAATAATAATCGTAATAATAATAAATTATTGACAGGAATTAAATAATAGTAAACAAAAGTGGGTGCATCTAGGTACTACATATTTGTTCGAAAATTTATTTTTTCATTTGTTCAATGGGGTAGATGAAAATTCTGATGAAAATCATAAACATGCAAAGTTAAAAATATTCTGGTAAACATAAGTAAATATGGTTATTATCTTAAATAAAAAATAATAGTTGTTCAATTATTAAGTTTTTTATAATATTGTATTAATATTATTGGAAAATTTGAAAAAAACATACAGAAAAAATCCGGACAACCGATGATAATAATTAAGATGTTGCTAACAAAATTGATTAGTCAAAATCGAGAATTTTTCATATGAGCTCTGTACTATTTGGTCTACATCAACGCATAAATTAACCTAACCTAATTTTTTTTCAGTTTCAAGCAGTCGTCCTAGGGCTTTTCATTGCATCCAGTGCATTCGCAGACGTCATACACCTTAAGAACGTCAAACCATGCCATCATAATACGCAAACCCAGAACACAAACGACTATGGCAATCTTGCGTCCGCATCCGGCGATCACGCGAATGTGGCATATTCACATCCACCCGCGTTCTCGTTCGGCGCTAAGTCTTTCGGTATCTCATCTACCTCGACTCCATTTGCGTACGGTACCCAACCAACGATTGCTCCATTCGTGTTCAAATCACTACAGTACACCCCTGCACCATTCGCGTACAGAAGTTCGTACTCCGCACCTGGTTCATTCTCGTACGGTACGCAACCCACTCCAGCTCCGTTTCAGTTCAGTTCACTTCGGTCTACTCCTGCCCCGTTGACATACAACGGAGCATCGTTTGCACCAGAGGACTCATTCAAGTCAATTGCCACGTTCTACTCTCAGTCCACTCCTGCAACATTCGGGATCGAATCCCATTCCACTCCTGCACCATTTGTTTCAACCTCTTCACCAGTGGTTTCAGTCAAGTCCCACGGTACTATTGGATCTCAGCCCACTTCTGCCCCTTTTGAATACAGCACTTCATCCACCACTCCTGCCCCTTTCGAATATGGCACTTCATCCTCGTCAGCGGAAGACTCATTCAAAGCCGTCACCACGTCCTACACGTCGACTCCTGTCCCATTCGCGGTTGAATCTCCGTCCACAGCCATACCACTCGCATTTAGTGGTTTATCTGGCGCAGCTGCAGAGGGTTCATTTAAATCCATTAACACATTTGGATCTCATTCCATTCCTGCCCCATACTCGTACTCGCAGGGAAGCGCCTTCGCCCAGTATGGAGGTCACTCTGCACCGTCTCCAGCTCACGAAATCACCATCAGTCGTGAAATACCAGTACCATATTATGTCCAAATCGAGAAGCGCATCCCGTACCCAGTGCTGGTGCACATCCCACACCCATACCAAGTGACCGTCGAGAAGCACGTTCCATACGCGGTTCGAGTGAACGTCGACCGCGCTGTACCAGTGCCAAGCCCATATCCGGTTGAGGTAGAGAAACGTGTCCCGTACCCGGTAGAAAAACCGGTGCCGTATGAAGTTCGCGTACCCGTCGATCGGCCATATCCCGTGAGCGTACCATATGAGAAACCAGTGCCATACGCAGTCGAAAAACCGGTACCTTATCCAGTCCGAGTCAACGTCGACCGTCCGTATCCAGTCGATAAACCTGTGCCGTACCCTGTTCCTGTCGAACGCCCCGTGCCATATGCTGTCGAGAAGCCTGTTCCGTATCCAGTCGAAAAGCCAGTGCCATATGCTGTCGAGAAGCAGGTCCCGTACCCAGTTAAGTATGAGGTGCCGGTAAATGTGCCGGTCCCTGTTGAGGTCAAGGTACCCGTCAACGTCGACAGGCCAGTGCCATATCCTGTTGAAAAGAAGGTTCCGTACCCTGTCGCCGTTCCGTACGAGGTTAAGGTTCCTGTGCCCGTTCAAACACCAGCTCAACGTTTCGCCACCGTCCACTACTATCAACAGTCACCGATCGTCGTGCAGCCAGAATCGTACAAGTCATACACTTCCGGATCGACCGCAGCTCCGGCCATCAACAATAACTTTGTTCAATCTTCGTTCGTGTCTGGATCTGGACAAGCTGGATCTGATTACGTTTCACCAGATTACACAAAATCTGACTACGCTGGATCGAGCCTAGTTCAAGACAGTGGATCGTACGGTTTGAACCAACAGTCGTTTTACCAGTCCACAACTCCCGTCCCGTCTTCGACAATTGGATACACAGCATCATCGTCATCTTCACCTCAGTACGAACCTTCCAACTTTGATTCCATAGCTCAACAAGTTGCTTCAATTGCAGGATCCGGGCAGGCTGAATCTGACTACACAAAATCTAACTACGCCGGATCGGGCCTAGTCCAGGAGAGTGAATCGTATGGCTTAAACCAACAGTCGTTCTACGGGTCCACAACCCCCGCTCCGTCTTCGACAGCTGGATACACAGCATCGTCTTCTTCACCTCAGTACGAATCACCTGACTTTAATTCAGTAGTCCAACAATTTGCTTCCATTGCCGGGTCCGGACAGGCTGGATCTGATTACGCTGTATCTGACTACACAAAATCTAACTACGCCGGATCTGGCTTAGCTCAGGATAGTGGCTCGTACAGTTTCGGTCAACAGTCGTTCTATGGATCCAAAACTCCTGTTTTATCTTCGAATGCTGTATACACAGAATCGTCATCTTCACCTCAGTTCGAATCATCCAACACTGATTCACTAGACCAGCAAGTTGTTTCCATTGGAGGGTCCAAGAAAACTGGATCTGATAATGCTGGATCTGGCTACAGATCTAACTTTGCAGGATCAAGCCAAGCCCAGGAGAGTGGCTCGTACAGTTTCGGCCAACGGCTGCCTTACGGTTCCAAAATTCCTGTTTCATCTTCGAAAGCTGGATACACAAAAGCTTCGTCTCCACCTCAGTACCAACCATCCAATTTTGATTCAGTAAACCGACAAATTGAATCCGTTGGGGGGTCTACCGCCACTGATTCCAACCAAACCGATCTTCTTGATGTCGGCAAAAAATAGATCTTCAAACTGTTTTCATTACGACAATGTCATATTTACTTTTCATAAAAGCTATACTATATGTATATATTTTATAATTATATTTTAATAAAACACTTTACCTGTACAATAAGTATTATACGTATATGTTTCTTTTTATTTGGTAATCATGTAGCATTTGACTAAAAAAAACAGCACAATATCGAATCAATACCTATCTCCATATCTATTTATGGAAACCAATTTTTAAGGTGTTTGTTTTCTCGCGGTCGGCCGTGTGTGTTTACTGTGTTTACTAGTGTGAACAGAAATGCAAACGGAAGTGTATTTACAGTGCCAATTACTTTCACAACAACGTGTGTTTGTTTTGAAAATAAAATGGGTAGTTCAGTGACAAAAAAAATAATATTCGTTAACCACTTTCCAAGGATAGACAAAATTGTTTTCCCATTCTCAGTTCAATGATAAAAATAATAATCGATGAATCGTACACGTGGTGTTCACAAAGACATATTTAGAGAAAGGACAAAGTAGTATGGTACCAATTTTTGGGTTGATTTAAAAATGTAGCAATGCAAAATTACTATTCAAAACCTACGAAATATATCATTAATCGTTATTCGTCAATTAAGTAATTTTGTACCATACCTCATTGCTACAATATTAATGTAAAAAAAAAAATCACAGTTGTTGTTTTTCATTTCTACGCATGTACATTTATAACTTATAACACAAGTATTAAAACGTGTGATTTCATTGTCGTTATTTCAGACAAATACTTCTGATATAGGGAAAGTCACAACTCGCCGATACTGCAAAATTATTTCATACAATTTGGGTAATTTTCAACACAGCAGTACAATTTTACATTCAAATTACTGTTAAACTATCAAGAATACATTGGTAGTGTACCTACAGCATATTGAAAATTAGCTACAACACATATTTTGTTTTAAACGCAATTTATTTTTATAAAATAAAATGCCGATCGTTTTGTGACGAGTAACCTTGAATATTTGACATGTGTATAACCAAACGTCAAACGTGTTTAAGTTCTTGAATCATTTATGTAGGTAAGCATACAATTTTTTTTGTCAGTGACACTTTTTCTTTAATGGAATCGTACAATTCTGTACGCAGCTCGTAGGAAGTAAAATATCTATGAGTATAATATGTAAATTTTCGTATTGTCGTTGTTGTTTTTCGATTTTGGTCTTTTCATCAACGTAATAACCGTCTTCTGGCTTCATCCGATCAAAAACCCGACCGATTACAACATACCCACAACGGCCGCGGCTGGTGGTATTAATGTCGTGCACGTTTATCGTACACGACTTACGTGAAATGTTATACTGGATGATTAATCCTCTATATTCGGCGGTGTAGGTATTTACGTAAATCTTCAACGATAAGTGCTGATCATTGCACATCGCTGTGCCCGAGAAGAAAATACCGTTGGACTTTCGACATTTCAGGGTGCTGTGTAATCCGATTGCAATGCGACGAACTAGAATAAGACCAAGTGTAAGGTATAGACACTCCAAACCATGGAGGAGGTTAAGAATTTATTAAAATATAATATATTTTCGGAAACACTCATTAGCGTTTAGTTCGAAACGCTGCCAGCAACTGCGAACGAAACACGTGTACGTGAATTCCGCAATGGCTTATCGAAGTAAGAAGGGACCTAATTCCATAAATTTCAATGAAGGTACTTCCCCATTCCATAATTTCACTTAGTAATCGTTCACTAAAGGTTCACCCTCTTAATAATTTAGCACTGGTAGTACATGACTAATACAATCGGCTTCATACGAGTGGGGTCACATTAAATTATTATAGTTCCTACTTGCTGGTTTCGGATTTGTTTTGGTCATATACTAGATCGACCATTGATCTTTTTATATTATGCAATTTTCGATATAAACTAAATAATATATTTTATATAATATGATATTTACGATCAACATATTTTAACGATATGGACAGCAGTAACGATAAAGGTGATTGATTTACAATATACAACGTTTATATTGTAAGTACCTATACTATCTGCTCGAAAAAAAAAGTTTTGTTATGTTTTCTTGTAGTAAACTTACGATACCATGTAGAATATGAAACTAACCAACATTTCGTGATTCAACTATTATACAAGTACTACCTGTAAGTTCACTAATTTATACGACGCAGATTGTATGCACTAGCACAGCGGTTCCCAACCTTTACAGTTGTGTGGACCACCAAGTATGTAAAAAAAAAACTTTGAGACCCACTTATCTAATATGGAGGTATACAATATAAACACACCCCAAATAATACGATAGAAGAAATATAGACGGGTATAAGTTCATATAAAAATCTCCATGTTGGTGCCAGTTAAAATTTACTGATCTTATTCAGACTAACACTCTCGACTGGCGTCAGTCCATATTGCCCTCAACCCACCATTGCACCAGCATAGTTCAATTTTGGGGTTAAATGATACTCGTCGATAAACGGACAATGATGATGAGACGCTTTTTTTGACTACTCATCGAGCGTCACTGCTTCTACGTCGTACAATATTTGACTCTGATTCGTTTCGGTATAGAGAGTACAGAATAATATATGATTACATTATACCTCCCCTTTGATAACACTACAGAAACGTAGTGAAATAATAAAATATACTTCGAGTGGGTTCAACGAGATGATATTTTAATTTTACTTTCAGAAAAAATTAATGTAGCAACCTTTTAGTCTCCTGGAAACGGTTTTCCCAATGCGTATGCGTATACGTCCCAGGGGATGGATTTTTAACGTATGAGGAATTCGGGATTTTGCGGCAGAGGTGGCGGACGTTCGGCCCACAAGGAAAACCTTCGTAATACACCGATATCTGAATTTAAATTTTACGGTCATTTTGACTTTCCATCCGTTAGACGAGGGTTGAAGCTTTCCGCAATCATTTATATTTCAAACAACCTCTTCGATAATGCATTGACCCATGTGCCCCTCTCTTTGCCACCCCGGTGCGTGCATGTATATATACTAATAAAAGTATCGTTCTTGCCGTTTCTCAGCTTGTATAATAATATATTATTTTTAAGAGAAAACAAGGATTGAGTACCCCCAACAAAGTTTGGCATTTTCAGGAGGTCGTATCTTATAATGTGATGAATTATGCAGAAGGGATGGTAAAAATATTGTTTTACCGGCGACCTCTTCGTTTGGGCGTGCGCTACACAATAATATTATACGTTATAAAAGCAATAATTAAGCGTATAGGAAGTGTACTGTTATGACCTCACCACCTGGTTCTGTGATTATAATATACCTAATTATTTCAGATATAGAATGAATACCAAGAAAAAAACATCCACTTGAGTGATTTACCGGAAATAACATATCCAATATCTAAATTACATCTTAAAACTCATTGATGCTTAGCTATAATAGCCATGTATTTATTTGAGGGAATGTCGCTTATCTTTTTAAAATGACAACGTAGTGTGGGCTGAGAATGAAAAGGTTCAATATCCACTTTTTTCAAAAATAGTTGTTTCGCATAAATTATTTAAATTTTCAATTGTGTATCTTTTCATTCAATAACGATGTTTCTACATACGATAATTAGCAAGAGGATCTATGTCTTGAAAAATTACTGAATCGTGATTATAGTTGTAGTTCGATAAAAACTTTTTTATTCTGATAAGCTTACGTAAGTATGAAATGTTTCTATCGCCTTGTTATTTAAAGTTGGTTGGTATTTAAAGGTTTTATCAATAATACACTATTTTAATTTTACGATAAAAAGAAAAATGTCTATAAGCTCGTAGAATATTTTTAGTAGACTTTAAGGCACTCACTCATTGGCAGAAATATAGGGGACCCCCTGCCCCCTCCAAACAAAAAAAAATATTATTTTATATTTTAAAGTTAGAGTAGTAGGGTACCATTTATAAATTATAATGTACCTAGTATTAATCTGCAATGAAAGTAAAATAACTAAATTACTAATTAGGTAGGTATAATAATAGTTACATTAAAGAAATTTAATTATTTATTCACTCAAATTGTTAATAGTTATTTTCGACTTAACATTACAATTATGGTTACATTCATAAGATAACTTGAACAAAATATATTGCGAATGAAAGTTGGAAATTGTTCTGCTGAATAATTTGATATTTTGGCATAGAACCTTTTCGTTTTCCGGCCCGCGATAGATTATTTTTGACGAAATTGAAGGACAATTGTAGAAAAATCGAATACGTTGATTCAAACTAACATATTAGTACGACCATATAACGAGTAGTAGATTGTCTTTATACCGTTGTTGGCAGTGTGGCATAGAAGTCAAGCTTGAATATATTCGTTTCGGTGACTAAAAACTAGCAGTACATTTAAAAAAAAAAAAAATAATAACTCTTAAGTCAATTTGTCTCTGATGAACTCGAACAAAACAAGTGCACGAAGGGAAAATGTACTGATGAGTTGGCGAACTTATACAGTTTAAATTTATGCTCATAAGAAGTATTATTTTCATATTATTATTACTATTTTAAAGGAACTTTCAACGAGGTCTGATACGTATTTTCTCCGCCGAGCGTTGGGCGATGCGTGCAATTAACATTATTAAGTTACAAACGCGAGGGTTGTTCCTCTCCTCTTTGCCCGAGGACATCATTGATCTACCTGCACGTTTTTAATGTAAATACGATTTTCAAACGGATGTCTTGTTTTTGCACCAAACGTTCCACAAGATCCCTCGATATGCGGCTGCAGTCTCCTACCGGAACCCAGGTAATATTATGTGGTATCGTAATGATGAGCAGCTCTCTGCAGTGGATCACCGACGGTTGGCACCTGGTTAGGGAGGTTTCCCTGATTTTTTACTCGTCTTATATTACGACTACCTATCTCACTCGGTTTCTTTCACTGCCCTCGGGATGCCACAAAGTTTATGCACCACCACGCCCCGATCGTCTTCCGCCTAATCGACACACCGCCGCCATCATTGTCGTCGTCGTCGTTTCATCATAATATTGTTGTTATTATTATTATTATACGTATACACACAAACACAACATCTGCGTGAACAACCGCCCTCGCGATCGCGGGTGCGATACTGAATTAAAATCGCATGCATTATTCA